TTTTGTAATTAGTGTTGATTAAATATGCTGTTTAGTGAATAAAGCAGCAGAATCTGTATTTTCTGTTCTGACGCTTTGGTAAAAGCAGGACAGAAATATGTTCAATTATACAAAAAACCCGACTTTAAATGCATTCGCAGGTTAGTGAGAAAAGAGGAGAGATTGATAAACATTGTTTTACTTTAATATATAAATCTAATTTAGGCTACACTGAACTTCACGACGCGAGAAATAACAGTATGACGCTTAAAGTCCATCTTTAATAAGGAATTAGAGTTTTTTTGCATTGCATTTGATAATTTCCCATCAACGCTGAACACAGCGGATTGGTTTATTAAATAGTCTACATTAACCTCAGGTAATAATTTACAGATAGCCGTAACATAATACATTAAATGTTAAACTACTGCTGATTTATGTCGGAAACGTTCACAATATTTATCATAGCTTATATATATTAATCTAAACCAGAATGTCTGATATCACAATAAGAAATTATTTAATATGACACTTCTTTATTTGTGCAGTATCTGAGGAAAGTCTGCCGAGATCTGCTGCATCACAAATAAGAATCAAGAGAAGAAAAACAATGTTTGTTTATTACTATATCCGATTTATTATTATTATTATAACAACTAATGCTGTTGCTGATAAATGGGAAATTAAGACATATTCATAGGCTATAGCTAATTCATATTTTTCTGGTACCGTTTTATGCCTAATTCATTTTAAAAGCCAAAAACTTTTAGTTTTAAAATTAGTTTGACGAAACATTTTAATCTTATTTTTAATTAGCGACTTTATTTTTCTGGAATGAACGAAATCTGTTCAAACTCATACATGCGGTTTGATTGTGTCGGTGCTTCTCATAATCTAATTCAAAATTATTAATCAAAAGATACAAATAATTCGGCATATATTGCGACCGGAGCGCCAGAAATGAATTCTCTTCAGCTCTTTAATCTGAAAGAAATAGCTACTTACAAGTGCATTTGATCCGAGTGGCCTGAGAATAAAAGCAGGCATAGCCCAGATGTGTGTGATGTTACTGAGCACTGAATATTGGAGTGCGTCTTCGGTAATCGCGATAAAAACCCGTCTTGCGTTTGCGCAGTTTTTTTGCGTCTGTTCGCGCGGCAGGCCTACGGTTTCATTTCTTCATCAACTCGCATTTAGTCGTGGCTGTCATTTAAAAGGGTCACTGGTGTGTTTTCATTCAGGGCAGTATGTCTCCTCGGGTGTTTAGGGGTTAACGGGTTAGGCGAGCTGGGTGTTCTGAAATACGTGGAAGCTCCACGCAGCCAATCAGAAGTTGGAACAGCTGTCTGGCTGGCCAATGGGAGTGCGCCGAGGGTCAGCCGCAGGTGAAGCGGACAGCAGCGCTGTGTTCGTTCACATTCGTGTGCTGGCGACGTAATGCGCATCCAGAAGAACTCGCTGCGCGCGCGCCGCGATGCGACCGATCTGCCGCCGCGGGGCTCAATCTCCATCTGATCCGGATCTGGAGCCTAATTCCACTGCTTTATAATCAACACTGACTTGTCCCTGCTTAACATGGCTGTGCGCAGCAACGCTCTGGTGCCATTCTCCATCCAAGCCATTCTGAACCGAAAAGAGGAGTCTCGGCATATGAGCGATCTGGATGTTTGTTTCTCCAAAAGCGCTTGTTGGAAAATCTTCGATGAAATGGATGCACCAGACAGAAGCGACGAGAGAGAGCACAAGAGCTACGACTCGGACTCCGGGCTGAGCGAGGACAACGACAGTAAAGCGCAAACCGACGCAAAGCCCGAAAAAGACGCAGATTTAGCGGACGACACGGATCCGGAG